GGGGGAAAGGCCCCCAGTCAAAGAACAAAAATGTTTGTTGACTAGTTTAAATTTTCTATTTTTACCTTTATCTTTCATGGTTTCCTCCCGGTCTCATATGGCCATATGCTTGCCTCCTCTAAGTCTCACCCAACGTGCTCCACCCCATTAATTTTCTGGATCACTTAGTGCCAACCATCCATTACAACAATTTCTTACGATTTTCTTAAGTAATACGCAATATTTTCTTAATAAGAAATTATGGTGGTTTGGACTATGATTTTTTAATAACTGTTTTTTGTATTTGTTAATATCACATCAGTACTTTTTATTGATATAACAGTGAATAATATAAGAAATTGTAAGGTATATTTTTCTTAATAAAAAATTATTTTATGTCACATCATGCTTTTTGATGTTTTTTGAAATATTTTTATAAAAATGTATGCATACTCGAGATTTTGGTTATATTTAATTGTAATTTTGTTGTTATTTGATTAAAATTCAGTTTTTATGATGAGGTGTCAATTAAGAAATCAGATAGAAACAATTATAATAAAGGATAATTAATTTCTAGATTATTTCTTAAATTGATGTGACATCGATGGTCTAAGAGGCATAGCAAAGATGTAGATCTTATATTTTTACCCGATAAACGTTTATGGTGTAAAAGACACTTAATAACAATCTCTTTTTAACGACAGAGAATCTTATTCGATAAAGGTAATAACGATGATGTTAGCCGGTAAATGTATAATTAGTAAACAACCCCTAAAAAATTACCGTTTTCATTAACGGTGAAGAATTATACCGTGACTTATCGAGATTGTACGATTCTAACCCTAATTTTTTGTGAGGGGTCAAATGAAACTTTTCTGAAACATAAAGGGTGGTGAATGGAAACATAAGCACATAACCAAAGTTTATTGACTTACTTGAAGTCCAATTGGGTCTGGTTGGGCTTCAACTATCCAATACAGTTGGAACCTTGTATAGTTTAAATCCAACTCATTTATTTATAAAAAAACAAAAAAATAAAAATTATAAATTATAAAAAAGTGGCTGAAAATGGAAATATCCAGTTCAAGACAAAGGGCAATTTCGTCATTTTAACACAACAGTGCACTTTAAAAAGCCCAAAAGAGACAGACAGAAATTCATCACTTCGAACCCGACTGCATGGATCCCGATTCACTCTCGGCGAGCTTGTTTAAGTGGGACACCAGGGCTGCTCTGGCTCAGCCGGCGGGCCGTCTTTACGAACCCATAACACTACAACAACAACAACAACCACCACCACCACCGCCACCTCCACCACCGCACCCGGCGGCAATGGCGGCAACCTCTGCTGGAATGGGGGGCTATTTGGTCAGAGAAAGCAGGGATCTTGGAGGGTTGGAGGAGGTGTTCCATGCTTATGGAGTACGATATTTCACGGCTACAAAGATAGCAGAGCTTGGCTTCACAGCTAACACGCTGTTAGATATGAAGGATGAAGAGCTTGATGAAATGATGAACAGCTTGTCTCATATTTTCCGATGGGACTTACTTGTTGGTGAGAGATATGGCATCAAAGCTGCCGTGAGGGCGGAACGACGCCGCCAGGAGGAGGAGGATTCACGGCGGCGCTACCTTCTCTCTTCCGACACCACCAACACTCTTGATGCACTCTCTCAAGAGGGTTCGTATATTCACAATTACATGCAATTTTTTCCATGCAAAAACAATAATTCTTGTTGGAATTTTCGAAAAACTACTTGATGTCGGAGAAAATTCTGACTTTTGTTCTGAAAAAACAGGCTTGTCGGAGGAGCCAGTGCAACAAGAAAATGAAGCGGCGGGGAGTGGGGGCGGAGGGGGGGCATGGGAGATGGCGGCGATGAGGAGCTGCGGCGGAGGAGGAAAGACGAAGCAGGGACAACGTAGGAGTAAGAAAATTGGAGTAAGGGGCAGAATTGGATCTTCCTCACAAATGGGTGGAGGAGATGATAATTTTGAGAATGAAAGCGAAGATGATCCAGACAACGGTGGCGGTGGCGCCGGAGTAGAACGGCAAAGAGAGCATCCTTTCATCGTGACGGAGCCGGGAGAGGTGGCGCGTGGCAAAAAGAATGGTCTTGATTACCTGTTCCATCTCTATGAGCAATGCCGTGATTTCTTGATCCAAGTTCAGACCATCGCAAAAGAGAGAGGTGAAAAATGTCCCACAAAGGTATCATTTTAATTTCCCATTATTTTTTTAATAAATAATAAATAAAAATTGTAGTAAATATTATAATGGAAAGGGTAAAGAAGTGATGATTCGAGTAAGGTGAGTGTGAAGAGATTTGTGTTGTCCGGTAAATATACAGAAAGTTGTGTATAAAACAAGAGAGATGGAGTCCTGCCCCATTGCCAACAGCTGGCTTTGTCCCCTACTCGACACGTGTTGTACGGTCTGCACTCCCATTTGCCTTTTACTTTTCACTAACCCTAATTCCAGTCAGTCTCTCAATTATTTTATATATATTCGTATTTTGTTTTCAGGGAATTGACTCAAAACCATCATCATATTCGACAAATAATTAACCTCTTTTTTTATTTTTTTTTATTTTTCATACTTTATTTAAAAGTCATTATGTCCGCAATACTGATATCCGTAATTATTACGGACATTATACGACGAAAAAGTCAACATTTTTAGGCCAAGTTCATAGCCACCAGTCCGCAACTATTACGAATCCGATCCAAAACCCATTTTTCTATGAAGGTGGACATTTATGAATCCTGCTTTATGGATTCAAGGAAAATGGGTTTTGGGTTAGATCCTTGATAATTATGGACTAGTGGTTATGAATTTGGGTCAAAAGCTCTAAACTTTTGTCGTTTAGTGAGTCCGCAATAATCGGGGATCGGGATATTACGAAACTAGTGACTTTTGGGAAGAGAAATGGTTATGAGGTCAATTTGGTTGTAGGATATGGTTATTTGAGTCAATTTCCGTTTGTTTTCTTGTATCATAATCTTTTTACTTTTTTACAATTTCCTTCGTATCTCACAATATTTTCCAATGTTTTGAGATAATATGTACTTCCGTTAGATCGGACATAGACTTGAATCGTATATGTTGCAACCTTTCGTTATAATAAAAATTGATTTGTTGAACGACAAAAATGTACAAGACTTAAATTTGTACGATCAAATAATTATACGTCTTAATGTAAGATGTTATAATAAAATTTTATAGGACGTTTTAGATGTCTTAACAATTTTCTAGGAAATCTGTAAAATAAAATGCCGTATCGTTTTTTTTATGGGACCCTTTGGAAAAGTGTCCTGGAAACTCAAATGTCTTGTAAAAAGATGGACACTTTATATTAAAAGTGTTCTAGAAAAACTTGTCAAAACGTTCACAATTGTGCTTATAAAATTATTTTAAAACTTTACATAAGGTTCATAATTGTTTGATTCCATAAACTTATACAGTCTTTTATATATATATATATATATATATATAAGAAGGTTAGACCGTCGTACGAGGCTAAGTACCATAAGGCAATATCCACCGATGAGCGTATTAAGTCTCTTAGAGAGTCCCTTTGAAACGTGTTGATTGAGGTTGGTAGGATATACGACCCGGAGATATCATAAGTGAGTAACAATATATGTATAAGGTTGGGTTTCAATGAGAGTAACGGTGAGAAGGGTAAGATGAGATCTCCACCGTTGGATCAATCATAATTGAAGAGTTTCACTAAATCAATACTAAATAGAAACACTATATCAATTTCTCTTTCAAATAATAATTCATTGGTTGGTTTAAAATGAATGATCAAGGATCCAAATTTTTTCTCACACTTCTCGTTTTAACTCCTATTTTCATTGGATACTTGTGTCTATATATATATATATATATATATATATATATATATATATATATATATATATATAAAACTATATATGATATGAGTGGATGTGGCGGGTTTGGTGTAGGTGACGAACCAGGTGTTCAGGTTTGCAAAAAAGGCTGGTGCGAGCTACATCAACAAGCCCAAAATGAGACACTACGTTCACTGCTATGCACTCCACTGTCTGGATGAGGAAGCTTCCAATGGGCTGAGAAGGGCTTTCAAGGAAAGAGGGGAGAACGTGGGTGCATGGCGGCAGGCTTGTTACAAGCCCTTGGTCTCCATTGCATCTCGCCAGGGTTGGGATATCGATGCCATTTTCAACACTCATCCACGACTTTCCATTTGGTATGTTCCCACCAAACTCCGCCAGCTCTGCCATGCAGAGCGTAGCAGTGCTGCCATTGTAGCCGCCGCTGCTGCTTCCACCTCCGTTGCCGCCGGTGGTGGTGGTGGTGGTGGTGGTCATCTGCACTTTTGAGTTGATGTTATGGGATTAGATTTTATGGTCCAAGCGGTGTATACGTACGATGGATGATGGTTTTAGTTATGGTTGTGATTGCATCGGAGTTATAATATGTGGTGGTTTAAGGCCTTTGATTTAAACAACAGGTATCGTTTGGTTTGCAGGAATGGAAATGAGTTTCAAATCCGTTCTAATTTTGTGTTCGGATTTGAAATTTTACGGATATAAGGTTTTGAAATCATTAGGGAGTGCTCTAATTTTATGAGATTTTGTAGGATTGTATGAAATAAGATTTTAAAAAATGTTAAAAACATTTGTTTTGTAGTAATCAATTAATAAAAATGTAATTTAATTATTTATAAATAACGGAATTCAATTCCATTCCGAATCATACAAACCAAAGACACTAATAATTTCCCACTCATTCTCATCCAAATTCTTCAAAACAATCATGCAAACCAAACGGATCATAAGTATATGTATCTGTATTTATACTAAAATCAGATCAAATTATATATTAAAAAATATATATATTTAAATGTTTAATATCAAGATATTATTGACCCTTTTGAAAACATTTGCTCCAATAGGCTTTGAAAGCCATCAATGTGGCAAAATTGTAACTTGAGATTAGTAAATGGTTCGGAGAAAGTTATCTGATCTAATTAAACACAGTCGATTGTGATCGGATTGTAGTTGGATTGAATCGAAACTACGTTACAAGTTTAATCATTTAATTTTTGGATGACAATCCAGAATCTAATAACACTGAACACATTCAATACAATTTTTTTTTATCTAACTATCATCAAATTAATTAATACAAATAAATAAAATTTTACAATATTGTTTTTGATTAATTTTTGTGTGTGGTATTTTATAAAAGAAATTAGGAAAAGACATGAATATTTGTTGAAAATTTGGATTAATTGGTTAAAAATGAATCAAAAGATTAGATGGATCCAATTCAAACAAACAGATCATAATTGTTAATTATATTCAGTTGATGAAACCGATATGATCAAGTCATACGTTGAATTGGAGTGGATAGAACGCATAGCGGAATCCGAAATTCAATTGATGATCGGATCATATCAGATCCATCCAAATTTGTCGAGTTTCAACTGATGAACACATTTAGTACATCATCAAATGAATATGTGTACGTTAATGTGTACACAACCTTTAGTGTAACTAAACAAAGGAATAATTAAAGTAAGATTTGAAAGAAAAAAAAACCCATACCCTTTTAGTACTGCAACACGCTTGGTTTCACTACTAGAAAACTGACCATTTCCGGCGGATTTGGCCGCCGGAAAATGTGGGTTTTTTGGTAGTGTTTACTAATCAACATCAGGAAGCCCGTTTAAAAGCATACAACGATTTACACAAACAACAAACCAGTTCCATGAAAATGCAATTGCATAAGTTGGCCCTAATCACGACTTAAAAAGTTAAGGAATTTCACTGTTTTTTTCATAAGGATGACCTAATCGAGTGTGCCATAGCTCCATGGACTTCACCTTATCAACTAAAACAGTCAGAAGTAGTCTGAGAAGTACTTTGAGAATAACAAATGCAGTTTCCAATGTTGTTCGTTCTTTAAAAGAGAATGCATACCTGGTGTAGGATACAACCGTCCACTATCTCTGACGTATATGACTAAATGTTATAGCATTACCACAGGCATCGCCACGACCACAATCAGTCTTCAAGGTCAAATACAACAAAATTGTGTTTATTATCTATACTATTTTATAAAGCATTTGGCTAAAACTCTTAAAACCTCTTAAAAACTCTTAAATCCGTTCATCCTCAAAAGATTTTATCCCTATCCGATTTCATCTCATATCTGAATTCGTGTAACTAACTGCAGATAAACACAATCAAATACAGGATAAACATCTCATTTTAAATATAAAAAATCTAAAATATAATTAGTATAATCATTAAATTCTAACAGAATACTTAATTATTATCTTTATAAAATTTATAATATTAAACGAAAAATAAATTGTTTTATTATTAAACTTAAATTAAATTATATATAAAAATATATATATTCTATATTATAAATCATTTGAAAAAAACTCTTAAAAAAAACTTTTTATGCGTAAAGTATTGTTTATTAATGCATATTACTTACAACTCAAGATTACAAGTAAATTGTGCGTATGTACAACTTATTAAAGCTCCATATCTGAATTCGTGTAACTAACTGCAGATAAACACAATCAAATATAGGATAAACATCTCATTTTAAATATAAAAAATCTAAAATATAATTAGAATAATCATTGAGTTCTAACAGAATATTTAATTATTATCTTTATAAAAT